TCTCAGGCTTGCTCTGTCCTCTGGCATGCCCACTCCAGACCCGTCGCCATCTTGCTCCCAAGCTATATATAGTCATATTTATTCTAAAAACACAATTGGGTTTGTTTCTGGCTCCCTGTTTTAGCCTCACCACTAGAGAATCCTGCTGATGTCCTGACATGATAGAACGAGAGTGTTTGGTGGTGATGACATCAAAGCCAGGTTGATAGTAAAAAAAATAAAAATAAAAATAAATTCTGGTTGCCTGGATAAGGATCCCCTGCTGTCTGTCCTTGCAGAGAGTGTAGACAAGAGGTTAACACTAAGATTCAACATGGGGAGTCATGTTGATGGTCTCCCTGGTTGTTATCTTCTGGTTGTCATCTTCTGTGTATGTTTTTTCCTCCTTGTACCGTGGTCTGTTGGCTAACTCCCTTCTCAGTACTGAGGTTTTATAGAGCACAGACGTGGTTTTTCACATACGTGTTTCTTCCATCAAGATACTTACTGTTTTTGATGAAAAACCATTATTCCAACAGTTGAGTCTGTGTCACTAGAGGTAAAGGTTTCATCCTTGGAGCAGAGTGGACATTTTCATCCAGAGTGCATGAGGTCATCCAGTTTAAAGCATTTAGATTTAGGGAATGAGCCCATCTCAGTCTGTTTTCTATTGCTGAGTACCTGAGACTCGGTAATTTATAAAGAAAAGAGGTTTGTTTGGCTCACCACTCTGTAGGCTGGAAAGTCCAAGATTGGGCAGTTGCGTCTGGCAAGGGCCTCATGCTACTTCTACTCATGGTGGAAAATGGAAGGGGAGCAGGCTTGTGGAAAGAGATCACAGCGAGAGAGAGGAAGCAAAAGAGACGCAGTGGAGGTGCCAGGCTCTCTTTAACAACCAGTGCTGGAGAGAGCTAATGGGGGAGAACTCACTCACCCCCGAGGGAGGGCATTAATCTACTCATGAGGGATCTGCCCCCATGACCCAAACACCACCTGCTAGGCCCTACCTCCCAGCAGTACCACATTGGGGGTCAAATTTCAGCATGAGTTTTGGAGGAGACCAACATCCAAACTATAGCAGGGGCCATGGCAGGCTTGGGGGATGTTCCCGCAGGGCTGGAGTTGTGACAGAGCTGGCTGGATGATGATCTGTGATCCCTGAGCCAAGGACTCCCCTCTCAACTGTTTGCTTCTTGCTACCAGTTTTCAAAAGGAGTGAAAATAAAGGAAGTTTTAAAAAGTGTATTGTCAGGGCTTAAATCAGCAGACCTGAGCTCATATCATGCTTCCACTGTCAGCTGTTTCTGTCATCTTCAGCAAAGCATTTTGTCATCCCCATGAGCCTGGCTCTTCTCCATCTGTGAAGTGAAGATGGCAGTGCCAACGTCCCGGGATTGCCGTGAGAGGCACAGCAACAGAGACAATCTGGTCACTCAGTAGATGGAGTAGTACTGATCACTAGATAGATGGAGCTATTACTAACGTCAAAGAACATACTAGAAGATAAAATGGGATGATGAGATGGCAAAGTAATGAAATAAAGGTTAGAAGAATGGGGAGGAAATAAAGGTTAGTAGCCAAGTCAGGTATACTAGGAAAAAAAACCTAGAACATTTTTATAGGAAAAGAAGCAGGAAAAAAGTATGAGAACATCCCAGACAGGTAAAGTAGAATGCTAAATTTACCCAAGCATGTACTGAAGAGAAGAAAGGAATGTTAAATATGGCAGCAAAATGGAGTCCAAGAGCCAGCATTGCCATGCTGCAGTAAACCTGGTTCTTCTCCCCGCTCCCCCCGACTAGTTCTCAAGGTCACTGTCAAGGTCACTGTCAAGCATCCTGAGAATGTCAGTCAAGGAGGATTTCCCCAGCATGGTGAGCAGAGCTTCCTTGCCTTCACCAGCATTTCTCCCTCCATGGGAAGTGCGGCGATAGCTCAGGAGTAACGTGTACCATGGGCCAGCATTTGAGAAATGCATAAACAAGATTAAATATTCCTTGTTGTGGTGCTTCTCGAGTCTTTAATACATAACTGTGATATTCCAGGAGGGAGTGCTGGAGACAATATCACAGAAGTAGTGTTCTTGGAACACACTTGGGAAACGCTGTCCCCAGCTTCCTGTATTTTGACCTATGACAAATGCTGCCCTACATTCTACACCTACATGCGGACTGTGTTCCCTCTGCCCGGAAAGTTCTAACTCTAGATCTTGACATAGCTTCCTCTTCTTCTCTTTGTTCATTCAGGTCTCAGCTCAGATGTCCCTCCTCACAGAGGTCTTTCCTGACTACTAGACCCTGTCACTTTCCATTCTAAAGCACTTATTACTATTTGATGTGTGGA